CATCATCATCATCACCATCAACAACACCGTTACAATCATCATCATCGTTAGCAGCAGCAGCAGCAGCATCAGCATCAGCATCAGCATCAGCATCAGCATCAGCATCAGCATCATCATCATCATCATCATCATCATCATCATCGTCATCGTCATGGTCATCGTCATCGTCATCATCATCGTCATCAGCATCACCATCCTCATCATCCTCATCATCCTCATCATCATCCTCAACCTCACCATCAGCATCAGCATCAGCCTCATACGCATCATCGTCATCGTCGTCACCATGATCATCAACCTCATCATCAGCAGCATCAGCATCATCAGTATCAACATCATCAGAACCAACAGCATCAACAGCATCATCATCATCATCATCATCGTCATCCGAAGCATACCCATAATCAGCATCAGCATCAGCATCGACATCAACATCAGTATCAGCATCAGCATCAGCACCCTCATCCACATCAGCAGCGTCATCGAATCATCAGCAGCATCATCATCATCATCAGCAGCATCATTATCAGCAGCAACATCGAATCATCAGCAGCATCAGCATCATCATCAGCATGATCTTCAGCAGAAACAGCAGCATCGTCATCATCAGCATCATCATCAGCAACAGCAGCAGCATCATTATCAACCATAGAAGTGGCAGCATCATCATCGTCAATAGCATCATCATCAGTAGCAGCATCCGTATTCTCATCAGCAGCATCATCATCATAATCAGCATCATCAGAATCACCATAATCATCATCACCGTCGTCGTCGTCATCATCGTCATTATCGTCAGCAGCATCATCAGTATCGTCAGCATCATCATTATCATCGTCATCATCAGTATCATCATGGTCGCCGACATATTCATCATCATCATCATCATCATCATCATCATCATCATCATCATCATCATCATCATCATCATCATCGTTATCATCATCATCCTAACCAGCATCAGCATCAGCATAATCGCCATCAGCGTCATCGTCACCAACATATTCAGCAACATCAGCATCATCATCCTCGTTATCATCCTCGCGTTTACCTGTATCATCCTTATCCAAATCCTCATCATCAGCCTCAGTATCATCATCAGTTTCATCATCATCATCATCATCATCATCATCATCATCATCATCATCATCATCATCATGATCATCAGTATCAGTATCAGCATCGTCGTCAGCGTCATCATCATCAGCATCATCATCGCCATCAGTATCACCAGCATCCCCATCATCAGCAAAAGCATCATCAACAACACGCATTTTAAGAAGTTCTAGTCCAGCTAGACTGGGCGGGGACCCATGCGGAGAGCTAGGCCCGTCAGGGATGTACAGATGATAACGCAATCGTGCCAACAATTTCACGCGACACAAGCACGTAAGTCCTCGAAACGTACCCAAGTCAATGCCACTGGCCGGCTGGCCGCGATCCCAGCCTGAGTTCTGGTGCGGCCAGCGTGGTCGCCGAATGTTCGCTCCTATCTGCTCGCGTGCCATTCAACACGTATGTCCCCAACCCTCGGTACCCGCCCTGATCGTCTTCGATCGTACCCCGTTGGGGGCATATCTTCCTTACCTGCCACGTGAACTTAGCGCAGCCCCTGGAACTTAGGGGTTTGGGCTTCGAGCAAACGGACTGGGGCTTCTTAAAAGGCGCGGGCCTTACATCTACAGACGAGGCCCGCGCCTTCTAACGAGCAGGGGTGCTTCTAAGAAGCCTTCCCCCCTCTCCCTACCCCCCTCTGCGCGTGGCCGCGCGCGGGGGGGTAGCAACCTCCCTTGGACGTCCGCACGGGCACGAGATGTGCTGGTCGCTTGCTGCCCCTCCTCCATCCGTGCCTCTCGGCGACTCTTAATAAGATGATGCCGGGACGAGGATAAATTCGGGGAGGAGGAGGAGGAGGGGAAGGATAAGAGGGGCGAGGAGGAGTAGGAGGAGAAGGAAGAGCAGGAGGAGGAGGAGGAGGAGGAGTGAGGATAAATCGAATCTCTGAGATCCAACGGCTCTAGAGGATGTCTCGGGTGCCGCAGCCTCTTCGGAGCGTTCCGGGACGCTCTGAGAGCGTTACGGCACGCTCTGGAACGGACTTCTCATCGTCCCATTCCCGTCAGACTTGAGGGGTGCGGCTTGTAAAGAGTGTGCTTTGCACCCGGCACCCTGGGAGGACACCCTGGGAAGCGGGCGGGGACCTCGATGGAGTTCCCTTCCGCGCCCCAACGAGGCCCGACGAGGACAGTGTCATGCCCCCCAGGCCCCAACGGCGCCGATCGGAACCACACCCCAGCATGACCATACCCTTTGTAATCGCCGCTCCTGCTCCTGTTCTGCCCCACCCTCCTCATTGATGCGGGGGGCAAAAGCTGTAGCGCACACCTCCTGCGTCTTACTTTTCGAGGCGTGGGCCGCCAGGCTCCCGACGGTATGTCCACATGAACGGCTTGTCGACTCAGACAGCTTTTATGATGCGGCCCCTAAGTCCGCCTAGTCCTCCTCCTTCCTCCTCCCTCCTCCCCCTCCCCATCGCCCTGCTCCTTCTCATCATCATCCTGCTCTGCTCTTCCTCCTCCTCCTCCTCCTCCGCCTCCTCCTCCTCCGATTCCTCCTCAATCCTCCCCCTCTTGGACTACAACGTCTTACCCAGCCCTTTATTCCTGCACACCCTCTTCCACATCCCTGGTCAGGGCAACTCATCTGGGCATTGTGTCTGGATGGGCTGGTGGGGTTGCTTTCTTGTTCGCGAGCGCAAGCGGAAGAGCGGCGCGCCGTCAGGGGATCGCCGAGCAGCAAAGACCTAAATTAGTACGGCCTGAAACGGGACCGAACGCGTGCAGCTAACAAGCGGCAGAAAAATGCAAACTAACCAGCGGGCCAGGCTCACCCGCCGCTCAGACGGAACAGGCGAAGACAATCACCGAGCCCAACGGGCGGGGGGGCCGATGGCGCCCACAATCCGAAAGAGCTTACCCCAAGCCGAAATCAACTTGAAACCAACTGTATCGTCGCAACGACTGGAGGTCCATGCCCACCACCCTACAAGAAACAAAAGAAACAAAAAAAGGCATAAGCAGAAATTCTTGGCGCTACGCGCGGATTCCTTGCATCTCCCTGGACCCCCATCCCTGGCGCGCGGAGCGCGCCAGAGGCGGCGCCGGAGGCGTCGCCAGGGGGGGCCCAGCGCGGATCCAAGAAATCCGCGCGGAGCGCCAACTGTTTTTGTTGTTTATTTTCTTATGTCCTATGTCTATGTCTATGTCTGTGTCGATGTGCTTCTTCGACTGAACCGATCCCCACACCTGACCATTGTCTCGAGTCGAGTCCAGCTGTGGCGCCTCAGGAGGAGAAGAAGAAGGAGGGAGAAGGAGGAGGGAGAGGCAGGAGGAGGAGGAGAAAAAGGAGGAAAAGGAGGGAGAGAGAAGGAACATCGAAGGCCCCAGGACCCAAAAGGGACCAAGGACAAAGCCTTAAGGTGCGCACGGGCAGCCCCGGAGAGACAGCACCTGCCAGCCTCACATCGCCGGCCCAACGGGCCGTACAGTAGGGGCCCGACCACAAAAAACCTTCCACAAGGAACCCAACCCTGAGACCCCAGGACGTGCATTGAATTTTGGTGTGGGAACGTCGCGCCGTCCATCGCAAAACCATCGAAACCCAAGAAACCCATGGGCACCCGGAAGGCAAGCAGGGTGTTTCTTGGCATGGGTCACATCTGCTGGCGGCGATAATTGGCAGCAGAAGACAGGTGCTCTTTTCGGGTCCTAAAAGCCCCCGTTTGGTAAGACGAAGTCAGGACGAGGATAAAATCGGATGAGGAAAAATGGAGAATCTGTGAAATCAGGCGGCTTTGGAGGATGTCTCGGGCGCCGCGGCCTTCTGAGAGCGTTCCGGCACGCTCGGAGCGTTGCGGAACGCTCCGGAAAGGACTTATCCTCGTCCTAGCCCCGCCCGACGACTGCCGCCCCCCCTTAGGGTCGGTCGGACCGGGGGGGGTGGTCAAACTAGACAGCCAGATGCATGTCACCACCAGCTGTGAGGAGATGAGTTGCAAAGGTAATTAGACAGACGGCAAGGGCCTCCTCCTCCTCCTCCTCCTCCTCCTCCTCCTCCTCCTCCTCCTCCTCCTCCGCCGCCGCCGCCGCCGCCGCCGCCGCCGCCGCCGCCGCCGCCGCCGCCGCCGCCGCCGCCGCCGCCTCCGCCTCCGCCTCTGCCTCCGCCTCCGCCTCCGCCTCCGCCTCCTCCTCCTCCTCCTCCTCCTCCTCCTCCTCCTCCTCCTCCTCCTCCTCCTCCTCCTCCTCCTCCTCCTCCTCCTCCTCCCCCTCCTCCCCCTCCCGCCCCATGTCCCCAGCCGTTGGCAGGGCCCTCAGTTCGTCGTCGTCGTCGTCGTCGTCATCCTTCAGGGTCGGCTGCACCGGCCGTAAGACCTTCACAGCACCTTTGCCTTCGTGCATATGTGGCGCCTCTCTGTATATGTCATGAACGTGGGCTCGAGCAACCGCAGATGTGCCCAGGCTCAGGTTGGCACGCGCCCAAAGTGCTCGGCAGGGGCGGCCCTGGCCGACCTCCCAGACTTGTCGAGTGCCAGAAAGGCCAGGCGATGTTCACTCGTGCTGGAACGAGGGAAAATAGCACGCGCGACAAGAGCGGACATGTACACGGATGCGACCTCCCTGAAGGGAGGAGGATGAGCGAGGATAGGGGCAGAGGTGAGGAAAGGCGAAGAGCTGCAGGAGGAGACCAGGGCGAAGAGCACCAAGAGGGAATCCTCCCAGGGAGTGCAAAAGAAACTGATCAGTCGCCTTGAAAGCTGCGATTACCAGGAGGTTGCCAGACCAGGAGGTTCTCAGAGGCGGTCTCAACCCAAGTGAGCAACATCGCAGAGGAACCGCAGCAAGCAGACCACTCTGGGATGGGCTTAGGGGTCGCCGCGCCGCAGGCACTGAAAACAGGCATAGATCGAGATGAAAGGGTGGAGGGTGAAGGGAGGATATTGTGGAGGAGAAGGAGGAGGAGCGAGAAGTGTTCGAGTAATAATGAAATCCCGACACCTTTCTTTCCGGAGGCATGAAGCGCGATTGCACTGGCCTGTCAGTGACGCTGCAAGAAAAAAAGCATCACATGATCATGCTCTCAAGAGCTCCCGTGTCAGGTCTACTGCTTCGTCCAATGCTATAGCCTCGGCACTGAAGGAATCAATTGGTGTGCTGATAAACCATCCTGCCGTGCAGATTGGACACGACGCTGTGCCGCCCGATAGCTGCACATGGGCTGCGACGTACCACGCTGACGATGAGCACTTGTGTACACAGGTGCCCCCGTCAGTATGTATGATATAGTTCGCTTTCTGCGCAGACAGGTCGTCCGCAGGAAGCACGAGCTTCTGACACCATGACTTCTGGATGGCCATGGTGTCCCCCTTGCATTGGAGAAAAGCTGCACAGGGTGTCGAGTTTGGGGATGCGCGACCTCCCTGCGAATGGGGCACAGACGAAGAGCGAAGAGCCGCAGCAGGAGACCAGGGCGAAGAGCTCCAAGAGGGAATCCTCCCAGGGGGTGCAAAGGAAACTGATCAGTCGCCTTGAGAGCTGCGATTACCAGGAGGTTGTCAGACCAGGAGGTTCTCAGAGGCGGTCTCAGCCCAAGTGAGCAATATCGCAGAGGAACCGCAGCAAGCAGACCACTCTGGGATGGGCTTGGGGTCGCCGCGCCGCAAAAATGGCGGGGGACCCGCAAAAAGCGGACCACTCCGAACTGGGCAGAGAGGTGGCCGCAGGCACTGAAAACAAGCCTAGATCGAGAATGAAAGGGTGGATGGGTGCAGGGATGAGGTTGGGAAGACGAAAGAGGAGGAGCGAGAAGTGCTCGAGAAAGAACGAGACTCCGACACGGGGCTTCGCGTTCCAGGATAGGCTCCACGGCAACGACAGACGGAGGAAGCCCATGCCCTCTCTATCCCACGGGTAAGGGAGGCCGAGGATTCAGTGCCAGCATCCGGCCGCAGGTGAGTCGAGAGCAAGCGTTAAACTTCAAATGGGGGATCGAGAATCTCTCCGAAGCGGGGTCTTGGCGGCCAAATATGTGAGTGGTGCTAGCCCTCTGGCGATCCACTGCCGTCGACAAATGTTCTCTATCGACTAGAACTCTTTCTGCGCGGCCGTGCAAACAGCCCCTGAAGAGCCTCCCAAGAGCCTCTCGTGAGCCTCTCGGGTCTCTCTTACTCTAAGTTTCTATCTCTCGCGAAGCTCCCTCCCCTCCCAGCTACGCGCGGCCCTGCCCTCACAGCGATACCTTCGTCGACGCGGGTTCAGCGCCAGGGGGCCCCGCGGGACCGTGCCGCCGCGCAGGCTCGCGGTGGTCGCTGCCGTCTGGCCGGCCTTCTCTCGGCCGTTGTAAGCTCGCGGTCGCCGCTACGCCACTGGCGGTGACCGCTGTCGGCTCGCGGTCGCCGCTGTCGGCGAACCGTCGCGGCTGCGTCGGGCCCGGGCGGCGCCTCTGGCGGACCAGGAACTGCGGAACTGCCTCCAGGGTCTCCGACGCAATGCTCGAGGAGGCGCCCTCCTCCGCGCCCACGTCCACGAGAAGCCGCGCCTCTGGCAGGGGCTCCTGCGAGGCCCTGGAGGCCTGTGCCCCCGCGCTGTGGATGCCGCCGCTGCTGATGGTGGCCCCACTGCCAGCGGCGGCGCCGCGCCCGAGGGCACCCTCCGCCCCCTCGCCCGCCGCAGCGCTGCCGGCGTCGGCGCTCTCCCTGACGCCCGCCGGCTCGCGGCAGGCGGGCGGTGCTGGCTGGCCGCGGGCACGCGCCACGCCCGCCCCGGCCGGCTGCTCCCCCCGCGCGGCGCGGGGCGGCGTCGAGCCCGCAGGGGGGGGAGGGCCGGAGCGGGCCCTGCGCATGGCGGGGGGGAGCGCCGTCGGCCCTGCCGGAGGGGGGGAGCCCGTGTGCGCGAGGAGGCCCAGGCCCAGAACTGCTTCCCGAACCTGGACGGATGCGGAGCCCTTCCGAGGCGTCTTGGGAGCATCGTGGACTGGCCTGGAGCCAGTGCCTTCTCGCATCTTCTGTCACCTTGTCTCGCCTCGTCTTGACTGGTCGTCCGTCCTGGAGGCGCGGGCACGCTGGTCGCATGGCCCGGCGCCAGCTGAAGGGGTCCGCCCGCAGTGTTAGGGGGAAGTCCCTCGACTTGGCCTGGGCCCCGCTCCTCCGCGACCCAGTGGCTCCAAGAGGACCTCAGGTCACACCCAGGATTGCCTCCAAGGTGGAGCAGCACGGCTCAAGATGGCCTCCAACATGCCTCCGCGGGGCCCCAACACCGGCGCAAAACAAATCCAAGCGGGGACGGGGCCTCCCACCAAAACCCCCGTGTGGTATGGTGAAGGAGCCATGCGCCAGCCCTTGGCACGGAGCTTGGGCATGCAATCGAAGAAAATTCAGCCTGCCCGACTGCGTGGGGAACTGGAAACACACGAGAGCCAAGGAGAAGGAGGAAGACGACGACGACGACACATGGACTGATAAAGTTGGCTTCCTCTTATTACGATTGCAGCAAGTCTACTCACGCATTGGGACCATTGCAGCGCGGGCCCGTGTCAGCTTGCAACGATATCGCCAGGACACCCAAACCATTCAAACGCAGATGGTTGTTTGGCATGTTGTGCCTTCTCGCAATCCCGCTTCCGACGGGCCCCCGGGGGCTCGAGATGGCTCCAAGATCACCCAGGATCGGGATCCAGAACGGCCCCAAGAGGGCCCCAATGAGGACTTGTGTGCAGGCTCCGACCAGGAGAAGCTAATTAGAGCCACCTCCGATTTAGTACACGGCATGGCTGATAGAGACAGGCCTTTGACCGAATTTCGCTTTGCACCTGCATTTTTGGGAGACTGTTGGGCCAATAAGGCTACAAGATAGCGCAACGCACTCTCGGATGGACTCCGATGTGAAACAAAACAGCCCAAGCCGTCTCAATATAGGCTCTGCATACATCCAAGAGGCGCCAAGACAGTCCCAAGATGGCTCCGAGGGGCACTGGAGCACCCGACAATCACGCCCGAGTACATGATCGACCCACGAATCCAGAAAGGGACCCAGAAAGGGATATAGAACTGAAAAAAAATAACGCGTCTAATACACCAAACTTGGCGACGAGCACCTGCAATGCTGAAAATCCCACCAGGTTTTGGCTAAATTTTGGCCTCATGGAAGGGAACCGCTAAACCCGCCAGCCCTGTGGGCGCCGGTGGTTTAACAGGCGCTGTCTTCTCTGAGCAAAAGGTTTTTTTTCCCCTGCCGCCCTGGGCCTGGGAGGGGGGGAGGGCACGTCCGGGTGGAGCGCCCAAGATGGCCCCAGATGGCTCCAATAGGGCCTCTCAAAGCGCAAGATGGCATCCGAGATTGTTCCAGATTGCTCAAGATGGGTCATGATAACCCGCGACACACATCCAAGATGCCTCGGGCCCACCGACGACCTCCCTAAGAAGCCACAGGCCTTCCAGAATAATGGAAAATCCGTGTGGGCATTCTCGTCTGTTCAATTCCGATGGGCTTTGGGAGTTTCTAGATGCCCCCAAGAGTTCACAAGGGAGCCCCAAGAGAGGCTAAGAGGACCCCAGTAGGGCCCACTGAGCGCCCAAGGGCGCTCCGAAAGCGCCCCAGGAAGGACCCAACACGCCAGTTTCGAGCCTCTGGGAAGGGAGGAAGCCTGAATCCGCCACCCCCCTCTTTTGAGCCACTGAGGCCCAAACGGCCCCAAGAGACCTCCCAACACACACCCAAAGATGCCCAAGAGAGCCCCTGGACCCCCCGGAAAAAAGGGCCCGCGAATGCCCCGCGAGGCTCTGCGAGGACCCCACGAGAGCCCCTAAGATGGTTCCTTATCATCATCTTCTTCTTCGATGGTCACATGAGGTTTCAGCAAGATCGTACAACAAATAGCAGGGGCCCATGTTTTGGCCGACGGTCGGTTTTCCACGGGTCCTTTGGGTCGGAAAGGGTCCCAAGATAATCCCAAGAGGGGCCCCGGAAGACCCTTTGTAAAGCCGCTATGGTAGAGGGGGCAATGTGTTAAATGATTCGACACATGCTCCCGCCGTTCGTGCGACCACGTAACGCTTACAAGGCGGCTGTTTCACTGCATGTTTGTACACTGCACTGATTCGAGCAACTCTCCTGGCAATTGTTTCCAGATGGGTTGATCGGGATATTTGTCTTTGGTGCGCGGCCACGCGAGACTGGTCGAACGCCGGGCAAGCGGGGGCAGGCTATGCCACCAGCTGCGGAAAGCGCTGGTCGGGTTTTTCTTTGGCGCAGCCGCAAGCGAAGGCGCAGGCGGCGTCAAAGGTCGACCCGGGCTACGGGCGAAGACTAATTACCCAGCGAGCGCACTCACGGCTGCCGAGGCTGCCGCCGAGGGAGGCTGAGGGCGCCACGGGCTGAAGGCCGGCTGCGAAAGCTGCCAGGAGAGCCAGGCGGCCAGCATGCAGCCATCCCAGAGGCGAGACCAACGGGAAGGGGGCGAATTGTACCTTGTCGCACCAGGCGCCAGAGGTAGACGCGCCACTGAACGTGGCGAACAGCGGGGCTGCGCAAGCAATCCAGCGTGCTAGGCTGCAGGCCGACAGAGACAAACACACATGGCTGACCAAGAAGGCCGAACCACTCCTGAGCAATTCAAGTAGGCGCGCGTCCCACCATGCCAGCGGCAGCTGCAGACACGGCCAGGCCGTGGCGGTCTGAGGACCAGAGGTCCGGAAAACGCAAGCACTCTAGCCAGAGCTGGTCAACGTGCAAGTCACCTGGACGCCAGGGTGCCTCACCAGGCTCAGAAGGGGCCAGAAGGAAGATCACTGGGCGCAAGGGACAGAGGGGGCGGCGCAGCAGGCAGCTGCGGGCCGAGGTGACCTCCGGCCGGGGGCCCGCGGCGCGGCGCGCGAGTCAAGAGACGTCACGAGGAGGGAGACAGTTCACCGGGGAAACCAAGCCAGGCTGTGGCCAGGTCCGAGCGAAAGACAAAGTGAAAACAGCTACAGTCAACGGCCGAGGCCGCGTGGCACGCCCCACCCTGCCCCAGCAGGGGCCATCGCGCCCGACATTGACAGCGCCGCGGAGCCTGATCCCCAAGGGCGGCGGGCAAAGTCAGGCGCAATATCGGGGCCATCACCGGTCGCCACGAGGCCCGCAGTCGAGGGGGCTGGGACGAACAGCGGCCAGGTGCGGGGAAGGCCAGGGTGAACACAGCTACAGCGAACGGCAAGGCCGCGCGACGGCACACCGCTCCCCGCCCAGAAAGGCATCGCGCCAGGTATTCACAGCGCCAGGAGCCTGATCCTCAAAGGCGGAGGAGCGAGCCAGGCGCTGTGCTGCGACCGAAACCGGTCGCGCGGGCAGGAGAGGCAGGGGCACCCAGAATACTGTTGCGGCTAACGGCAAGACGTTCCGATACGAACTCTTGAGCCCCCCCCTTGCGGGGCCTGTCTCCGAGCGCTGGCGCGCCCTCTGCAGCGCCCAACTGTCGCCACGATACTGTCTCCAGGAGGGGGCGCGCTTTCGGGCACATCTTCGGCCTCCACGAAGACACTGCACCTGGGACGCTGATAGGAGTGAGGAACTGGAGGAGCGCCTGTCTGCCTGTCTCCAGGAGTGGGAAGGGCCGACCCACTGCGGCCGACGACCGCCTGTTCTGTCTGTAGCTCTCCATGGCGACTGCTGCAGCTAACGGCCGCACGGTGAGATACGAAGTCCAGAATATCCGCAGATTGGCGACTGTCTTCAAGCGGAACGATACACCACCCTAAGATTTGCGACAGTCTCCAAGCGGAATCACTGTGTGCCCAGGGAGCGCGCTCGCGACGGCGTCCGCCGCGCGCCAGGCAGCCCGGGCTACATTCGGACTGGCCGTCCAGAGAGAGGCCTTCGCAGCCCTCGCGGCGGTAGCAGCGCCCGCCGGCGGCGGCGGCTGCGTCGGGCGCAGCCCTGGCACCGGCAGCGCAGACGCAGGGAGCGTCGGCAGCGCCGGTGGCGCAGGTGGCGCGGGCCGCAAGCCAGCGAGCACGGACCGCGCCGTCCCGCCCGAGGGCGTCGGCAGCGTCCGCGGCGCTGGCGGGGGCGCGCGCAATGGCCGCCCTGGCCGCACCAGCCGCCCGGAGGGCGCTGGCGGCGGAGGCCGCGGCGGGGCATCCCGAGCCAGCGGCGCCAGCGGCGTTGGCTGCGCTCGCGGCGGCGGACGCGCCGCGGGGAGCGGCCGCGTCTGCCGCGCCAGCAGAGCCGTCGCGCTGGGGAGGCACCACCAGGGAAGCAAGTGGCTAACGGCCACACGGCCACGCGGAATGAAAGGAGGGAGGGGAGAAGAGAAGCGCTGAACGTGAAGCCAGGAAATGGGGCGGCACTGAGGTGGCTAACGGCCACACTTTCTAGTGTCTGGTTGTTTCCGAAGCGTTCAGCGACACTGACTGGGAGATCACGACCACTTGGATCCCCTGCCGTCGTGGTCAGCACCGTCGCTGTTCCGCCTGCATCTTGCCTCCGTCATGCCAGTCATGGTCGTGCCACGACTGCGCTGCACCATGCCAGGACCAACCCTCCCATGAACCCCAAGACTGGTGCTGGGAGCTAGAGCTCCACCCCTTTGACTGGTGGGAGCCCTTCCCAGAGGTCCCCCTGGTGTGCGCTTCACGTATGGACTGCCAGTCGACGTTAAGCTCCAGCTGCTGGTCCATCTCGTAGGCGTCGTAACCAGATCTGCGCCAGGCGTCCAGGAAGCCCTTGCACGTGCCCTCGCCGTTCAGGCAGGGGTTGTTTTTGAATCCCTTTAGGGAACTTCTGCATTGAGCCGTGCCAGATCCCGTTGAACGTGCCCCCAGGACCTTCTGGAGGCGCGCGATCTTGTCGGCTGGGGGCTCACTGTGGTGGCCCAGGTCGACGCTGCCCAGGTGCTCACGATACATGTTTCCGCCTGAAAACTAGTCACGGAGATTGTCGAAGGCCTTCCGCGCGCTGCTGTTCGGAGGAGGGGTCGAGGGGCGCCTGCTGCCGTCGGAGCCAGGGGGCGCTGCGCGACTGTCCACGGCCCGGGCGCCGGGCACGTGCCTATCACTGA